CCCCAGCAGCAGGCCAGGTGTGGGAGTGATGGAGGGCGGCGACCTGGCTGCTGCCCTCGTCGAGGTCCTCAGCAGCGACGGGTAAGACAAGACAAGGGAAGACCAGGGAGGGCCAGATTTGTCACGTGTGTGATGTGTGTGGGGGGTTGGCTCTTTCTTTCGCGCAGGTCATGCGGGTTGTGTTGGCAGGACGGCGGCTTCCGTGTCCGTCTGCCGTCCTCCGAGGGGGAAGATGGCGAGGACCGCATTCTCGATGTCCCGATGGTCGACCTCAGCTCCCGTTCGGCCGTCATCGCCGCTTTTCGCCGCGCTGTCGAGGAGCTCAACCGTTTGAGCACTGTCAGTGAGGGAGAGGCCGCTGCACCCCTGGACATCAGCTGGCTCGATGACATCAGCCCCCACGGCTGCAATCGTCCTCAGACGCTCCGCCGCAGCAGCAGAGCGAGGCGCAAGCCCATGCCGCCCCCGTCTCTGTCTGAGGGCCCCAGTGACCACACACCTGACAATGATGACCCCATGCCCGCCCCACATTCAGCGCCGGCGCCGCCACAGAGGCAGGTCTGCACATCGTGTCAGTGAGAGGCCGATGGCCTGTCTGGGGAGTGGGGAGCCCAGCCATCGCCCGGGCAGCAGGAGGGACAGTCAGGATGAACTCATGCCGCCTGCCATTCTACCCACATCGGAGGCACATCGCCGTCGTGAGGGCGAGGAGCTGTCACATCGACCGGGGGCCAGACGCCGTCGCGACAGGTCAGGCGGTGGGAAGGAAAGAATTGTGTCGGCGAAGCTGAGTGAAGGGGGCGGCCATGCTCTGGCAGCCAGCCTGGTGGAGCAGGCACAGCGGCAGCTGGCGGACTCGCACCAAGACGATGCCGACAGGTGGGCAGAACGATGAAGTCTCATAGAATAGGCCACGGATTCTCCTCTTCCTTGATGTGTGCTCCACTCAGTCTCGGTCTCGAGTGGCGCGGCGAGGAGGCCAGCTTTGTGTCTTACCGACCAGACGGGGAGGCCAGGCACGACGAGCGTGTCTTCAGTGTGTCTGACGTGACCTCATCCCGGCTCATCCTGCGTGCCTTCGCCCAAGCGGCGCACCACCGCAACGCCGCGGCTGGCGACGATGCAATCATGGTCGACATGCGGCGGATCAAGCTGCAGCCACAGCCGACGGACAAGCATGCCGCCGACAGAGGCACGAGTGCTGGTGCGGCGTCCAAGGGTCCGGCACATCACGACGGTGGCGAGGCGGATGTGGGTGGTGTTGGTGGCGATGACGACATGGATTGGGCTGATGACGTGTCTTCGCGTGACGGACAGCCGAGCCGCAAGGCCGGCAAGGGCAAGACCGTCATCCGCAAAAGTGCCGAGCATCAGTCAGCCGTGCAGGGGGTCCAATGGTGTGAACGGGGTCAGTACTGCCAAGCGAGGTGGTATAGCAAGAACGACGGCAAGCGGGAGAACAAGTACTTCTACGTCAAGGAGCATGGCTTCTACAAAGCGAAGGTACCGACATCGCATCGCAGCACCGCACCTCCATCTCACTCTCTAACGAATGGTTCAGGCGTTGGCCGAGCAGCATCGTCTCGAGATGGAGCGTATTGGACTGGCGTCGGTGAGGAAGCGATGTGAGCACCAGAGCGGCGTCAGGGGCGTCAGCTACAACAAGGGCGGCAACTCATGGCTGGCCAGCTGGCAGGTGGGCGGCAGGAAGAAGACGAAGTCCTTCTCCGTCGCTGAGCTCGGCTACGAGGAGGCCAAACAGGCGGCCATCGCACACAGACAGAAGATGGAGCAGCGGCGCCACACTTCAGAGGGCGGGGCGACGAGCGATGAGGGCCGTTCCTGCAGCCCCCCCAATGATGATGGTGCGATTCACTCGGCGCGCCGCCACGGCCCCCCCAGCAGCAGGCCAGGTGTGGGTGTGATGGAGGGCGGCGACCTGGCTGCTGCCCTCGTCGAGGTCCTCAGCAGCGACGGGTAAGACAAGACAAGGGAAGACCAGGGAGGGCCAGATTTGTCACGTGTGTGATGTGTGTGGGGGGTTGGCTCTTTCTTTCGCGCAGGTCATGCGGGTTGTGTTGGCAGGACGGCGGCTTCCGTGTCCGTCTGCCGTCCCCCGAGGGGGAAGATGGCGAGGACCGCATTCTCGATGTCCCGGTGGTCGACCTCAGCTCCCGTTCGGCCGTCATCGCCGCTTTTCGCCGCGCTGTCGAGGAGCTCAACCGTTTGAGCACTGTCAGTGAGGGAGAGGCCGCTGCACCCCTGGACATCAGCTGGCTCGATGACATCAGCCCCCACGGCTGCAATCGTCCTCAGACGCGCCACCGCAGCAGCAGAGCCAGGCCCAAGCCCATGCCGCCCCCGTCTCTGTCTGAGTGCCCCAGTGGCCATCCACTCGACAACAATGACCTCATGCCGCCCCACATTCAGCCTCGCCGCCGCCACAGAGGCAGGTCGTCATCTCGTGTCAGTGAGAGGCTTATAACGGACTCGTCCAGCTCCGAGAACGAGCTGCTCATCAACCGGCCAGCAGCCAAGCGCCATCGTGAGGACGCGGGTGGGGGGAGGGATCGGTGTGTGTCGGCGAGGCTGAGTGAGGCGGGCGGCCATTCTCTGGCAGCCAGCCTGGTGGCGCAGGCAAAATGTGCGGACCGAGATGATGCTGACCGACAGCAGCAAGGGGCTGGTGCGTCGGTGCCAGAGGGTTCGATTCGTGATCAGTCATCGACCACAGCCCCCCTCGAAAGCACCGCCGCCGACATGCGGCTCTCGCCAGCAGCAGCCCTTCCGTGGCGGAATGGCGGCCGAGCCCCAACAGTGACAAGGCAGCCAAGGCCAAGGGCGAGGCCAAGGGCGAGGCCGTCATCCGCAAACCTGCGGAGCATCAGTCCGACGTGCCGGGGGTTTGCTGGTCTGAGAAGTACCAGTATTGGGTGGCGACTTGGTACGACAAGGGCGACGGCAAGCAGAAGAAGAAGTATTTCTACGTCAAACATCACGGCTTCGACAAAGCAAAGGTACAGCACAGCGCCACCCCGCTCGCGCAGCCCAACACCGCCAGCCCTCGTTGTGTCTGTCACGTGTTTCAGGCGTTGGCCGAGCAGCACCGTCTCGAGATGGAGCGCACCGGCCGGGCAGCGGTCAGGGGGCGGCCGCAGGCCCCTCAGCTGCGTGACGGTGGTGTGGGGGGCGGTGTGCCTCTGCACCCTACGGCTCGCCGTGACACCAACCGACCGAGGCCCCGCAGAGACGACCGATTCGACCGCCATCCCTCACCTGACATCGAGGCCCCCAGTTGGCTGCGGGAGGGCCCACCGGCTACGCCGCCGACGCATCACACGGCCAGTCGCGGCCCTCGTGTGTCCCCGGTCCAGCAGGGGCATCTGATTCTCCACTTCTACCAGCAGCTGGAGGCACTCGGCCGAGCCCATCCCGACACGCCTCTGTGTCTGCGGTTCAGGAGTGGGTCTGCCCTGACCCAGCTGGCCGTCGAGGTGGTCCTGCCCGGCACCCCAGTGCAGTCGGTGCCCCTCTCAGCGGCCACCAGGGAGGCCATGGGGGCGGCCGTCGATGCCGCATGGGCATGCCGCCAGCGGGAGATGGACATGGATGGCACTGAGGACCAGCAGCCCATGACACACGCCCAGCGGATGATCCTCTGTCGCCTTTATGGTCAAGTGGGTCACAACTGTGGGGCGATGCTGGCGGCCGTCCCCTCTCTGAGCTTTGCGTCCGTCGACTCGTTTGTGCGCCGTGAGCTGCCGGCCATGGTGGGGCGGCGTGACGGCGAGGACATCAAGGAAGCCGCCAGTCGATTCATCAAACAGCTTCAGAAGACCAATCAGCAGAACACCAGGCTGGCTGCTATGGCTGCCGCCACCCCTCACAAACGGGCCGTGATGGAGCAGAAACCATGTGAGCATCAGAGCGGCGTGCGGGGCGTCAACTTCGACGAGAGAAGGAAGCGCTGGGTGGCCAAATGGCAGGTGGGGGGCAAAACGAAGAGCAAGTACTTCTCCGTCAAAGAGCTCGCCTACGAGCCTGCCAAACAGGCCGCGATCGCGCACCGCCGTGCGATGGAGGAGAGGCACTCGACCCTCTTCGGCAGCGACAGGCAAGAGGGCGGCCAGTGTGATAAGTCTGTCAATCGCACTTCGTCTCTCAAGCACCTCTCCAGAGACCCATCCGCCAGCAGCAGCCCATCCGCCGTCGAGAGGCGACAGAGACCCAAGGGCGGCAAGACAGCCGAGGCCACCAAGGGGAAGACGGCCGCCATCCGCAGACGTGCCGAGCATCAGTCAAAGGTCGTGGGCGTCTCCTGGGATGGGAAATTCCGGGCGTGGACGGCGTCATGGTATCCGAAGGACGGCACCAGGCAGAGGAAAAAGCAATTCACAGTCGGAGAGCACGGCTTCGTCAAAGCAAAGGTACGCAAGACCTACATGGCCTTAAGCAAAGGTGCTTATGGACCATTCGCTTTCCGTCTCTCTCTCTCTTTGCCCCAGGCGTTGGCTGAGCAGCATCGTCTCGAGATGGAGAGCACCGGCCAGGCAGTGGACAGGCGAGTCAAGCGCCAGAAGGGCCACCGGCTGGCATCAGCCATGTCCGAGCGGCTCGAAGCGGTGGACGCCGAGCAGCTGCCGGGTGGCAATGAGCCACTCGATATCGACGTGACGCCGCAGCCCATGAGTCGAGACTTGGCCGATGTGGTCCCGCAGACGCAGTCCCCCTTGCCAGCCAATGGCCCGCACACACCTGATGTGACCCCCGATGCATAAAGAGATCCGGCCGCTGCCCTTCGCATGCTGGACGGGGCGACGCACGGACGACGGGCTTGCGGGCATGGCGACGGCAATGGCGAGAGGGAGAGCGAGATGATTCCGTTCGATGAGCTGACGAAGGGTCAGCTGGTGGAGCTGCTCAAGGCCCACCCATCACCCGACATGCGGCAGGTTGCCGAGAACATCATGGTCAGCACACCACACTCACACAGACATGCAGCCTCTGTGGCCAACCGTGTGTGAGTGTGTGTGTGTTTCAGTTGGTTGAGAAGTACGCGCCTCAGCAGCTGTTCACTGGTGGCGGCCACACTTTATCTGAGCCATCGCACGCCCCGCCGCCCCACGCCCCCAACACCGCCAAAGACCACGACTACAGCCCCCCCATCGACACTGACAAGCCCACCACCAAGGTCAGTGTGTGCCCACTCACACACTTGGCACCCAACGGTGCCCTTTGTGATGACCTTGATTGCAGGTGACGCTGCGGCTGCACACGGGCGACCAGGTGAAGCTGACCTTCAACAACGCCATGCCCGTCAAGGAGCTGTACGCGGCGGCCGCCAAGGCGAGCAACATCGGTGTGGCCAGCTTCCGGCTCTTCTCGTCGGCGGCTTTCCCTCCCAAGCCGCTGGACGACCATGCGCAGTCCCTCGAGGAGGCGGGCGTGATGGAGTGCCTCGTCACGCAGAAGCTCAAATGAATGGACGAATGACAGGCGGGGATGTAATTCATTCGTGCAGCGAGGGAGGTGAGTCTGCTGTCTGGTGTGTCTGAGGTCGGAGAGGGGATGCATGGAGTAAGGTGTGTGTGTCGGTTGACTGACGATGGGGCCTCATAACATACCCACTGACTGAGTTGTGTGATCGAGCTGGGTGCGGTGGGGTGCGCTGCCTTTATGTACTCACTCGTGGTGTCGGCTGGCCTGGCCGGGATCTTGGGTCGGTGTGTCGGTGTGGTACCCCCCTGAATGCCTTTTTGAAGTAAAGACCATTGACAGATACCAGGTCAGGTTGGTGATGCTTGCTTTGGATTGCATGCATTCGCCAATGCCTCACATTCGTTTTTCCGGCCATATGCGAGAAATACCCGCACTTTTTTCATCTTTTTTGCTATCGCACACCGTCGTTCGGATGCAAGCATCGTCGAGTCGATATGTTGTGTTTTGAGTGGTGGGACGGCCATGGCATGCTGATGATGTTGATGTGAGTCAGTAAGTCAATGGTACAGTAGAGACTGCCCTTGGTGTGTGTGTGTCTTTTGGCGTCCTTGTGTGGCTGTTCGTTTATCGGTGTACGTACCATCGAGCAGCTGGCCATGGGCGCCAACGACCTAGGTCCCTGTGTGTGATGACTTCCCTTTGTTTTTTCTCCTCTTTTTTGGCCGTGTGGCGGTGCATACGATACGGCTTTACTCACGGCTGAGTTGACCGGTTCGGCACGGGGTGGGGTATCTATGTATCTGTTCGTTTTGTCTTGACAGACACATGTCGGGATTGAAGCAGTGAGTGGCACATGGCATGGACATACAAACTGATAGACAGACAGACAGACAGGAGACAAGAAGATGTGATGCGGTCGGTGTATTCGCGCACACGCTGCCAGAACGCCGTGTGATGGAGCGAGTGATAATATGGATACTAACGGCCAT